ACAGTAGCAAAATGACAGTGATGAAGTAGCAATGAGAATAATGTTATGGCTGGGGGTCACCGCCACATGAGGACCTGTATGAAAGAGTCGCGGCGTCAGGAAGGGTGAGCACCATTGCCCTAGGGCAAGCTGGTGCCACCAGGTCTGCCCCGACTCCTCACGACTCCAGGAGAAGAAAGCACTGCCGGGCGGGCTGCCTCTGGTGCTGATGTCTGAGCTCGCCGTGTCCATCCACCTCACCGAGGGCCTTCCTCTTTTCAGCTAAGCCTCTAAAGAGGGGCTAGAGGTTGTCAAAATCTATGAATCTGTTCATCTGATTGTGCAGATTCCTTCCAAAGTCCTGCCTATATTACACATGTTCTCCAAGTTGGGGTCAGAGAGGGTCAGGCACTGAAAGGCCCCCAAACAAGTCCCCTCCCAAATTCAGGAACGCTAATACTAAAATACTAAATACTAAACGCTAATACTAAAAGAGAAAGAAGAATCTAAGAACAATTAGTTATGATGTGGTCCTACTCGATACTTGCCCACATAAAGAGATCACTGAAAATATGAGTGCTATAGCCAAGTGTCATGAAGAAATCAGAGGGCTTCAGAAAGAATAGTGCCTGGGGTCTTAAAAGCTTGTCTTAAAACAAGCAGCCATCTGAATGAGGAATGAGCTAAGTCCGTGTAGAAAAAGCACACAAAGCTCTGTGATCTAAGGACTGTAGGGAACAGTATTAAAGCTAAGTCTGCAGAAAGCTATGGATGACAATGAAAGTCAAAAATTCGTTTGCAGGGTGGGTCCCCACATGGATGACGGAGAATCCCCTCTGACCACTGACCAGGGATGTGACTAGCTTTGCTATCTGACCGAGTGCATTGAAAGGTGGGTTAGTGTAGATGAAGTTAGGTTAAAACTTAAGCCTTCTTATTTGTTCTCCCTAATAAATTTGTCCTAGTTTTCAATATTTTCTTTCTTTCCAATTGAGGTTTTTCTCTGTTTATTTTGTTATTGTTATTGAGTTTATATTTTGTGATTGCTGGGGTTTCTTATTGTTGTTTTCTGTTTGGTTGTTTGTCCTGGTGGAGTGGGGAGGGATGTTTTTCTGTATGTGAGATCCAGGATAGGTAAAACTATAGAGATGGCATCTGGATCAGTAGTTTTTTAGGGGTGATGCGGGGAATGGGGAGCTAGTGATGACGAGTACAAGAAAGAAGAAAAGGCTCTAAAATTGATTATGGTGATGATTGCACAACTTTGTAACATGATTAAATCACTGAATTGTCTGATGTATGAATTCTTTATCAATAAAACTGTCCAGAAGAAACAGAGAAAAGGACACCTGGTTATCCTGTCTTATTACCCCTAACCTCCACACTCAAAGTCACTGCCACTGCGTCAATTCTGACTCACAGCAACCGGAGCAGAACTGCCTCTGTGCATGCCCAAGGCTGTCAGTCTTCACAGGAGCAGAAAGTCTCACCTTTCTCTTGCAGAGCAGCTGATAGATTCGAACACTGACCTCACGGCTAGCAGCCCAACATAGCCTACTATGGCACCAGGGTTTTCTTGGAAGTCTTAAATGATTTTACTCACAATATTTTTTCAGACACAATGAAAAATGATTTATGCATTTTATCACTAAAATGATTTATGCATTCTGCTGAGAGAAATATATGTCCCCCCCTAAAAGTCCCTCCCATACCTGGGAAATTCAGATTTTTCCTATTGGTGGGACTCACCTCCTAGAAGCTTCCATTTGGCACTGGTCCGAAAGGCCTCCATCTGCTTGACCTCTTCTGGCCGCTCATCCACAAACTCAGCCACCTGGGTGGGGAGAGGGAATGCACAGCATTAAGCTGAGGAGCACTGGCGTCTCCAGAGGCTGAAGCTACAACCACCGCCCTTCCTGATGCACACGGCGCACACAGACCCAAAACAGCCATGAGGAAACATGCAGCGGCCCGCTGTGATCTGTGCTCCCACGAAGAGCTGATGGACCGTCCCTGGCTTCCCAAGGCAATTCCCTTCACTGTACACCTTGTGAACGGACCTGCTGGTATGCAAGTGCCACTTGTAAGCTGAAAATGCCATCGTCCTGACCTCTCCTTTCACATTCAGACTAAAAGTATGGCTGTCCCGCCTCTAACTCAGCCAGGCCTTTGGGTTGTCTTCTAAAACCTTGCTTGCTGTAGTCAGTAACAACGAAGCCAGACACAAGAAGTCACGGAGCTGTTCACAAAACCTTCACTCAATCAAAGCACAGTTCACATCATCCCAACAAGTCTGGGAATCTTTCCACAGAATCCTGATAAGTGATCAGGTGCTAAGTTCCTCTCTGAGGAGCCTCACTAACAAGGAATTCATTGTACTAGACAGTCAAATTTGTGGACATTTAAGAGGTAGCACATGAGCAAGGTCCACTGGTGCTGAAGGAAGAAATTTTAAGCTGCACCGAAAGCATCAGCCAAAAACGAGGCTCCAGGAACTGGTGGAATACCCACTGAAATGTTGTAAACAGATGAAGCACTGATCTGTCTATGCCAGGAGCTTTGGAAGACAGCTACTTGGCCAATGGACTGGAAGAGATCAACACCTGCACTCATCCCAAAGAAAGGTGACCCAACAAAAGTCCCAAATTATACAACAGTGTCATTAATCTCACATGAGAGCAAAATTTTGCTTAAGATCATACAATAGTTGCAGTAGTATATTGGCAGAAAGCTGCCAATTCAATCCAGGTTCAGAAGAGGGGGTGCAACAAGGGATAACATTGCTGAAGTCAGATGGATCTTGACTACCAGAAGGTGTTTACTTGTTTTATTGACTATGCCAAGGCATTCGACTGTGTGGACCCTAACAAACTACAGCTAGCCTTGAGAATGGGAATTCCACAACACTTCATTGTGCTAGTGCAAAACTTGTATAATTGTGTGAAAAGAACAAGAGAATACCACATGGTTTAAAATCAGGAAAGGCATGTCAGGGTTGTATTCTCTCACCATACTTACTCAATCAGTATGCTGAGCAAATCACCGGAGAAGTTGGAGTATATGCAGAAAAATGTAGCTTCAGGATGGGAGGAAAGTTTATTAACCACCTGTGATATACAGATGATACGATCTTGCTTGCTGAACAAACCCCAGAACCACGGACATTGGCTGTGAGTTAGATGTGACCAAGACAACGCATTAGTGAAGGAAGCGGGGGAAGTAGAATGCCGAGGGAGTGAACTGGTAACGAAAGGTGGGAGACTTGTCTGGGCTGCATGCGCCTCATCTGAACCAGCCGTGGACTGATGCTAATAGCGATTCTCGTTTCCTCCTCACTTGGAAAGTTAGAGGTCAGATGCTGCTCTAGAGCACTTTTTACAAATATGCACTGCTTTTGTAAGAAAATTTTAAGTGCTATAAATTATATTACCTTTGAGTAATTTGTTCTGAGTGAAATGAAGCTGGCTCCTTAGGACCATGATTTTCTTTCTCATTATGTAAAAACCATCTTTCAAGTCATCTATAGTACAGTTTAATAGGGAGTAATGTTAAGTACACTTATCTGGAATCCATCTTTACGGCGTTTTAGTAAAATACAACTTAAACAGCTGCTCCCATTTACCCTGTTCCTCCTGTTTATATGTACTTCTTTTCTTCAAACGTTTTATTGTGATTTTAGTGACAATTTACAAGGCAAATTGGTTCCCCATTCGACAACGCACACATTAGTTTTCCGATGCGATGGTGGTCCCTATGATGTAACAGGTCTCTCCCCACTTCCCCACCATGTCGGCCATCTTCTGTCCTCTCCCTTCCTGCTCAGTTTCATCCCTGGCCTGATAATGCCCTTTCCATCTCGAATGAGTGACTGTGTCAGCAGTGCATAATACCTCCTGGTGTTACTGTTCATCTGGGGAAGCTAAGCGGCCTGCTCGTTAGGCAAATGTGACAGGACTACCACACCCTGTGGTTCATGGCCCATGGGAGAAAACTGACGGCTCAGCCGTGGGAGCTGATGAAGCCACGGCTGGCCTGTCTGAAGTAAACCGACCCTTGCCTCCTGTTTCCTGACAAAAGCTGCAGACAACGGCCGCCATCTGCAAACTTACCAGTTACCCCGTGGTCCTGGCCTCATCCTCCCCTCCCACTTGTGAATAACTTGGCTGAGTGTACACCTTCACATGGTGAACTGTCCCTTTGTGTGTAAACCTGTCACGTGTTACAGGCTGCATGCAGGGAAAGTATTTAAGCCTGTCCCTAATAAAGTTCTGGGCCCTGGAGTATCTATACGGCAGGGACCCCCGCGCCCTAACTTTTGGCTATCACTTTTGTATATAAGTTTTCTCCTTGCAGATCGTACCCTCTCAAACCCATATGTAAGATAAGAGGCAGTGTCTACATTATCTTGCATTCACCAAGTTCACCTATATGCCCATGAATATAACCAACATAAATTATTTGTTCTGCAGGGGAAGATGAGGCTTTCTGCTTCTGCAAAGACTTGCCGTCCGGGGAACTCCAAGGGGCAGTTCTCTTCTGTCCTATGAGGTCTCTGTGAGTTGGAATCGACTCGATGGCAGTGGGTTCCGCTATCGGCGTAGGCTTTTGTCCATCTTCGTGGTTCTCAGTCACCTCCACAGTTCCACGAAGATACCTACGTCTTTCATGAACTCTCCCAACCGGGACCAAGTGTGCTACCCTCCCTGCTCCAACCGCACTTGGTGTGACGTGAAAAATAATGCCAGCATTCCTCACATGTTAAAATGATCGCCAATTCAGCCTCCCAAAGATCCCTCATTCTCGACTGATGGGACTGCAAACTGGTGCAGACACTGTGAGGAAGTCTGATGGCGCCTCCAAAGCTGGAACACAGAACGACCACACCAAGCAGCTTCCGAAGCTGTGTAAATGTTTACAGGAGCAGCGGCCTCTTCTTCCGCCCCGAGAGTGGCTGGTACGTTTGAAACACTGACCTAAGAGCGCCACCCGAAGTGCCACAGGAGCACCAATCCCAATCTGCAGTATGCGCTCAAGAGAACACAGGAACGCCGCAGATAGACACCTGGACACCCGCGCCCCCTGACGCACCAACCACACCGCCCACCCAGAGATGACTACACAGGCATGTGGACAAGATATCCATGCAATACAGTATTCCTCGGCAATAAAAGGAAATGAAGTCCTGATATACGTCACAGCATGTGTAAACCTTGAAAGCACTAGGGCTGAGTGACATAAGTCAGCCACAAAAGGACAAACATGGTGTGACCTCACTTAAATGAAACAAGCAAATACATGGAAACCAAAGATTATTAGGGTTTACCCAATGGGAAGAGAAGGGAGAAAGAGTGATGTTTGCTTAGGAGCGTCAAACTATTTTTTGTGGTGAAATAAACAGCAAATAGGTGGTGACATGAATAGTGAGTGTGGTCAGTGTCACTATAGTAGTTACATAATTTCAACTTGATAAACAGGCACCGGGGTGGAGTCTACCCTGTCAGTCAGCCTGAGATGCCTCCTTGTGGATGTGGCCTTCTCATGAGGATTCTGGGAACTTCTCTTTCTCCGTTGAGACACTCAGGAGCTGGAGGAGCCACGTGGAGATGCATTCGTTCACCACCACTGGATCCACAAGACTTTCCACCCACTGGCCAGTGATCTCCCTGCATTCAGCATCATTGCACATGCTGTGTGAGTCTGAAGAGGAATTTACGTACTAGCATTGGACATATGGGCTAATATCGGACTATGGACTCTATCTGAACTGGGCTTGGATGTTTTCTCAATATACCATTGCTCTTTGATATAAAGCTCTTTCCTATACATATATGAGTGTCTCTCGATTTGTTTCTCTAGTCAACCTGGACTAACACAGTCACTGAATTGTGCAAGCAGAAGCTGTTGATTGGGTGGCTGTTTTTTTCCCTGTATATTTTCACAATTCAAAATAAATCCATTTCCCTCTCAAGGGTATAACTTCTGAGGCACAGACACTGTGTCCATTAATCTAGACATCTCTAGTGCTTGGGGAAGTAGATACCATGTCAAGAGTAGTTGAATCAATGAATGCTGCTGCTCCTGGCAGTTACCATTGTGGGCTCCAACTCAGGGAAGGAAACAAACAGCTCCCTATCACTGAGCCTGAACACGGTGTGGAGGTTGGAGTCCAGCAAACTAACCCATCACTCATTCGAATTATGATGCTCTCACTGATGGTGAGAAAGTCCTGCCTTTCCAGAGACTGAGCCCGAGACATCTCTGTAGAGCAGGGGTGGGGGCTGGCCGGCCCTCGGGCCACATAAGGCGGTAGAAATCTCCAGTTCTAACATCACAGGGCTTGCCAAAGAGCAGCAGCTCCAGCCACCAATATTAGGGGTGCGTTCATTAAATGCTTGACCAGTATGCCTGAGGATGATGCTATAAATAGCAAAACAGGCCTGGGCAGAAAAATAAAGGTTCCCCACCCCTTTTCCCAAAGTGGGTGATATCAGCCCACGAGGGGCACTGGAATGATCCAGGGGGATTGGCAAAAACAGATGCCTACACTTTATTCTGGATTATAGGATACCGTACAAAAGTTTTTCACCGCAAGGCGAGCACTGAGTAATTTTTTTCTGAAAAGGCGGCAGGAGGCCACATGAGTTTGGGAAACTTGGTTTGTGGTATAGAAGCGTATGTCAAAGAAGATTACTTTAAACAGCTCTTTGGGAAATGGCCTCCTTTCTGTGCCCTCAGCTTTCTCCCACACAAATCTGCCCTGCGCTGGGGCAGGCACTGACAGCCCTGCGGAATTTCAAAACCCTGGCAGGCCGAGATACCTACAACAGGCAGGTCTCCATCATCTTCGTCTTCCTCCTTTTCTGGTTTAGGGGTGGAGATTGTGGCCCAGCTCACATCGTCATCCACAATCCGCATTCTAAATGTGAGAAACAGAAGAAAGAGGCAAAACCATTCTTGGATAACAGCCTAGAGCACTTATCCCCTGGTTTTTAGGAATAAAGTTCAAAATCCTACAAAACCCTACATGATCCAGTCTGCCTAGCTGGTCAACTTCCGCTCACTCACACTGCTGCCCCCTCAGTTCCCTGCCTCACTTGAGTCTGAAATGAGGCAAATTTCTGACATCAGTTTTCACATAGTCTCTTCCCTCTCTCTCTGCCTGGCCTGCTCCCGTCCTAGTTCTTAATCAGGAAGCTCATCCATTCTTCAGGCACTAGCAGAACTTCCTCAGGCAAACCTCTGCCCTAAGAGGCCAAGTACTTAACCCTGAAGATTAATTCCATTTATCACAAAGGAAACTCATCAAGTCATTGTGTGAACAGTTGCTTAAAGACTTTATCCCCACTAAACTGTAAATCCCCTAGGAATAGGGGTTATATCTTTCTTGTTCCCAGGGGCTTCCTCAACACCCTGCAGAACTCGCACAGGAAGTAGGCAGAGTTTGTTACCTGGATGAATTATGAATGACACACCAAATAACAACTGCCATCACATGAATAGTTACGATTTGAAAGCCAAGGGCACTTTACATATGCTACCTAAGCACAACCAGGAGTACCTGGGAAGTGCTGGGGAAAAAAAGTTGCGAGGTCAAACTTGCCAGATTCTATTCAGAAGTACTGAGGAAGAAAGGTCTGGTGACCTACTTGTAAAAACACCACCACAGAAAAACCTAGAGCACAGTTCTACTTGACACACCTGGGTCGCCGTGAACAGTAATCGACTACATGGTAGCTATTTTTTTAAATCACAACTATCATTGAATATAAGCAATGGTACTATGGGATAAGCTCCTGTCGGCTAACCACACATCGATGTGGTTTAAACCCACCAGCTGCAAAGGGAGAAAGATGAAGCCGGCTGCTCCCAAGATGTATAGTCTTGGGATGTATATCCCTAGATAAAAGTTGTGATGAGTCGGAATCAACTCGGTGGCAGTGGGATTTTAGTATGCTTCCCATTTTTCAAATGAGGAACTGGAGACTCAGGGAGGGATTAAGCATCTTGTCCACTAAGCAGCACAGGTAAGATTCAATCCATGAGCAGGTTTGCTCCAAAGCTAAGTGACTTCGACTACACCACTCCTCCCGAGAACCCACTCAAGTTGAGAGGGGCTGAGAAGCAGAAAAACGTGATGTAGGAAAGAAAATGGAACTCCTTTGACATCCGTGGGGTGGGAAACTTTCCTCGTTTATAAAATGGTGGTAATAACAATGAGGACTTCATGGTCGTGTTGGGACGCTCACCAAACACCAATGTCACACGCACCGTCATCCAGGGGATTCGGACTCACAGTGACCCTGAAAATTGTGAGGCTGTAACTCTTTATGGGAAGAGACGGCCTCCAGCTTTCTCCTCCCCAGGGCGGACGATGGCTTGGTCCGCTCACCTGGCAGTCAGCGCTAAGTTCACGTTCCTTTGAAGTACCTAGACCGTGCCTGACACGTGATAAGGGCAGTTGGCTAGTGGTTACTGCTTCATGGTCCCATTAGTAGTAGTGACCTGGGGGCTCCAGCGCGGGGTCAACGTCAAGGCCCACGGCCTGGGGCACCTCCGCAGGCAGGCTCAGGGAGGCCTGGTGGCGTCGTGGGTCACCGGTTCGACACCACGAGCCGTTGCTTGGGAGAAAGATGAGGATACATCTTGGAAACCCACAGGGGGCAGGTCTACTGTTCTATAGGGTCGCTATGAGTCGGAATGGGGGCGCTGGCAGCGAGCGAAGGGCCGACTCTGGACCTTAAAAAAAACCAAGCACCAAGGCCCTGCGTTCGCTCCACCTTCATTCTCGGGACGTAAGGCCCATTCCCGGGGGAGAGGTCAAAGGCGCCAAAGGCGGGACAGGAGTCAAAGTGAAAGCTAGCTCAAACCATCGAAGATGGAGGGTCCAGTGGATCCCGGCAGCCGCCCGACGCGGGAGGCGCGGGCAGGAGGGGACCGTGCTCCTCGGGAGCGGGGCGCGCCACAGGCACCGCGCCGCCGGCCCGACTCACCCCTTGCCGCCGGGCCCGCCGGGCTTCGGCCTCTTTTTGCGGCGTTTGCGACCGGACTCGGGGCCCCCGTCAGCCCCGGCATCGGCCCCCGACAAGTAGCGCTTCAGGTACTCGGCCTTGGAGAGCGGCGGAGCTGCCGCCATCGCCGCGGCGCAGGCGGGGAGACGGCGCGGCGCGGGGCACAAAACGACTCGAGAACGCGAACTGGCTGGTAGTGACGTAAGAGACGTAAGAGGGCGTGGCCGAGACCGGAAGTGGCGGCGTTTGCAAGCCGCCGGGTGGGGCTCCGCTGATTGGCGGACAAACAAGACAGGGCCTGTTCAACGTAACCTGCGAGAACGCGACCGCCTTGCTTCTCTGTCCGTCCGTCCGTTCCTGCCCCAAACTTTGCAGCAAGCAAGCGCTGTTCTAGCTTTAAAGCTACGATGCCCCCGGCAGCTTCAGAAGCATCATAGAGCAGTAATAAAAATTGTTTGTGGGGTTACTGTGCATTTACGTTTGAATGATGGCTCCATAACTTCCCAGTTGTAAAACCTAGACAAGTTAACAAAATGAGGATAATAATAGTACTTAAAACAATAATTGAGAGGTCTGAGAGCATGTAAATGCTTTGAACAGTTTCTGGTGCTGGGTTACCAATAGAGATTGCTTTTATAAGTATCATTGTGTGGGGAGAAATGTGTCCTGGTAAGCATCAAAGTACCTTCAAGAAAGGAAGTAAAAAACTTTAGATCCAATATGTTGTTCTTAATGCGAACCGACTCCACGTCATGGCGGCTCTAAATGCAGAGTAGAAGAGCTCCTAGGCTCTTCAAAGCTGGATCCACCAGAGGCACCTGGAGACGCTGCGGCCTCGGTTTTTAAAATCTTATCCTATGCAATTTTTGTCATCGTTTTAAAGTACATTAGTCATGTAGGTATTATTATCCTTTAAAAATATATAGACATGACGTTAACGTCAAGAAGTATTGATACTAGGGTTCACATTCATACATGTAGGTTGATGCCAAGCAAAATAGGTTTAAACAAGTCTCTACCATCAGTGGAGTGGCTGCACACAAGTAATTCACTAAGTAGTACACATGTCTCATTAAGATGCATTCTTTTTTTTTTTTTAAGTCCAATCAAAACAGTAGCTTCCAGGGAGATCTGCTGGGGCCAGTTAAATTTAAGGCAGACAGGCCAGCTCAGAAAGTTATGGAGCACATAATTACATGCCCTAATATAAGAACAATTCTTATGCTATAGCCCTGCTCGATACTGCCCTTCATGATCACTGAAAATATGGGTGCTATAGCAAAGCGTGGTGGAGAAATCAAATGATGCCCAGATATCAGAAAAAATAGTGACTGAGGTTTTAAAGGCTTGTATTAAAGCAAGCAGCCAATGAAGTGAGATATCTGCTAAGTGCACACAGAAAGAGCACACCAGTCTATATGATCCAAGGATTGTTCATAGTAAAATTAATGATCAGAGGAGGGAATTGTATTGGACCTTAAATTCTGAGCACCAATTTTCAGAAGGCTATGGAGAATGAAAACCCAAAGTTCATTTGTAGAGCCCCTAAGTGGATTAAGCCTCCACTGATTTCCCTATGACCATAGACCAGGGATATTAATAGTCTTGCCCTCAGACAGAGTACACTGAAAAGTGGATTACTTCCATCCCCGCTGAGACCAGGGAAGGGCATTTTCACTCAGGGGCTTGCCTGGGTGTGTCCTTGATGGAGCTCATTGTGCTGGGCATCACATGGTCAAGAGCCATGACTTGATTGCCTTGGGGAAGTCCTTGGACCAATATTGTAAGCTCTTGTCTTACATAATACCTATGTCCCAATCATTGACCCGGTCCCACTCTAGGAGTCCCATGGATAACCACATTATACTGATGTGCTGCCAATAATGTCTATGTGACAGTCTGATGGCCCCCTCCCACCCCACCCCCGGTCCTTTTTAAATCTAAGTATTCTAGCAAACCCTTGGAGACCATTATGTTCTAATCATCTCCCTCACCGAGATGGTATGTTGCTCTAGTTGTCTTGTCCTTGTCCCATTTAAGAATAATGTCTTGTTTATAAAAAAAGATAGCATTTAAAAAAGTTATGGAGACTTTTTTTGGAGATTCCAAAGGGGTAACATTGATAGATTTTCTCAAAGGTACAGGATGATCACAAAGCCTTGTTATATAAAAGTTTTTAGACATTTAAACACTGCATTGATCAGAAAAAGTATAGGAAAGTTGCACTGAGAACTTCTTTAAAATCACAACAATGCACCCCATCATTCTTCGAGGGTAGCAAGAACTATCCAAGATCATTTTGTTAGGAAAGCTTACCCCACCAGCCCTATAGGCCTGATTTTGCCCATTTAGACTTATTTTTGTTCTCTACTCTAAAATAACGTGAAAAGGAGTCAAATCGCTCAAAGATGCCAGGAACACCATTGAATGTGGCATAAATTGAAGAATGCAGAATTATTGGGGGAAGGGCTACAGATAATAGAAACACCACCTCCAGAAGTGTATTTACCTAGATGTGGACTATGTCAAGAAAATAATTTCCCTGGTTTCTATTTTTGATTACTGGAAGTGTCTGATTTTTTTATAGCAATATTTTTACTTATTCCTATAGAAGGATAACAAAGCCCAAACCCACTGTCAAGTCATTCATAGCAACCCTATATGCGGCTTTTAAGGCTATCAATCTGTACTGCAGCAGACAGCAGCACCTTCCTCCCAAGGACCAGCTGTGGATTTGAACCTTTGAACCTGTGACCTTCCCGCTTGCACACTGGGGCTCCTTATTGGGATACATGTTCAAGTACTGTATTTTGTTGTTCGCTGCCATAAAATCAACTCCAATACATGGCTACCTATGTACAAAGGGGCTTCAAAAATGGTTGGAGAACTTTCCCCCTTCCATGACCCTTTTGAAGCGAACGAAACGCCTCGACTTCCGCCGCCTTCCTGATCACTGGCATGTCCGAGTCCATTGCTGCTATTGTGCCCATCGTCACGGAGGGTCTTCCTTTCTCACTGACCTTCCATCAGCCCTGACGCCCTTTTGTGGTGGTCTTTCCAGACGATGTGTCCCAAGTAAGCCGGCCAAGGTCTTGGCATCCTTGTTTCTAAAGAGTTGTCTGGCTGATTTCTAGAAGATCGCTGCTCTGCTACCTAATTTTTGACCACTTGGCTATTTTGAATGGTTGCAACATAGGCCCAGAAAGGACAGCAAGCTGGTTCTCTGAGACGTGTAAAGGTTAGGACATCACTAGCCAGAGGCTCCCACAGGGCTCCCTATGTGGCTTTCCAAGACTGTAATGCTTTATTAGAAAAACCTCTCTCGCTCCCTCGGAGCAGCTGATTTCAAACTGCTGACCTTTTGGATCACAGCACAACATGTAACCACTACACCACCAGGGCTCCTGACACACCACGGATGTATAAAGACAAAAACAACCGATCGTGTGTTAGAAGACATTTCTCTTCCACCTTGAAGGTGTCCATTAGGAAAGCCAATTGTTCACCAACTTACTAATTCCCAGCACTTGCCTTGTCACCCCCAGACTTATCCCGTCACCACAGACATCCAATATTGACCTGTGCCAAGTCTGAGGACTAAATATGACTGAGTGAACATGTGTGGATTATGGGGACATATATAGGCTCTCAAAATATTCAGCGGTTCAAAAAAAAAAAAGCATCCTGTTTACATTTTAGTCCTGTGGCTGTGAAATTATATCTACCTCTTCTTGGCTGGCAGTGACTGGCCGCCTCTGACCTGTGAGCAGGGCCCTTCCCGTCCCTTGTTACTCCTTACTGTTCCTCCATGTGCCCAACAGCCAGACCTAGGAAGGGTTTCTAAGCATCTACCTCGGTTGGTCGCAGACACCACTCATTTCTTTGCCTTATGTCTGGGAATGTGGGGTGGGGCAAAGTGCAAGAGATGCAGGCTTCCTATTTAAGAAAAAAAAACAAACTGCCATCAAGTCAAGTTGTAGCAACCCTATAGGGCAAGGTAGAATTCTTCCTGAGTTTCACTCTTTAAGGAGTAAGAACCTCATCTTTCTCCCCCCGACCAGCTGGTGGTTTCTAAGTGCTGACCTTAGAGCCCAGCTGTAACCACCACACCAGCAGGGCCCCATCGGCTTCCTAACAGGCAGATGACATGAAGGAGTTCAGAGAGAACTGTAGAAAGGTGTGTCGATGAAGGCTGCCAAGGCTTCATCCTATCAAAGAGCAAGTAGTCCCTTGGCTCAGTCATTCCAATCTCACACCTGGTCCTGTCCTGCAGGGTTTCCATTTCCCGATACAGGATCGGGGTTTGGGACCCGGTCTCCTGCCGATGAACTGCGTTGAGATGGAGTAACTAACAGCCCAGATGCCATCCTTTCCCCTCTCAGTGGGGGATAAGACTGGGCACTGGGGCTCATGTCCAGGTGCCTGCCTGTAATCAAATCCCCAAGCTAGTTGGAAACACACCCAACAATGTCTTGGGGTACCTGCATGAGGAAATCTCATTAAAGTATGGCAATCTCATAGATTGGGGGAGCAAGTAACTTGCTAACCTTTATTTGTAAATTCTTAAAAACACCTTACTCTTGTGTAAACGAGCTTCAAAAAAGTTCACGGGAAAATGCCACCATCTTTCACCCCTTTTTCTGCTCTTTTTGAAGCCCTCTCACATTATAGATAGGTCTGGGGGGTCAGTCTTACATGAAAGTAATACAATGCCTAGGCATTGAATGGAACAAGCTTTCTGAAAATCGGATCTTTAGAAACAAGGGCATTTCAAGAGGAGGGAGTCCAGATAAGAAGTGACTGCAGTGAAAAGGAGCCCACAGGTACAGCTTCCGGGCATCAACATGGAGCGAAGTGAGGGTTCCCTGTTCAATGTGGGGGATAAAGGAGAATGTTCTCTAGGTGGAAAGCCACTTGTGACCTTGGGGGAATAATTTCTACAGCATTGGGAAACTGATGTGACTGTCAAGTCATTTATAAGGAAACAATTATTTGCCATTTATAGCACAAACTTAAGCTTTGAGACAGCATCTTGGTCCACTAATAGGTCTTTAATGAACAAATTAACCTGTAGCTGCAGCGGCAGCACAGCCATTGGTGAGACTGCCTGGAGTGAAGGGAGGCAGGAGGCTACAGCACACACCACCGGCTGGAGAGTCGGGCCAAGGGCTGCAGTGGATCCCCTACACAGCCGCCAGCAGCCCCCCCCCTCCCTGGTCGGCCCTCAGTTTCCCCATTTGTAATTGACAGTAGAAGCAGATGACCTCTCTCCCCTATTCCCATTGCCACCAACATACTCCAGCCTCTGAGCTTTTACGTTTGAGGTTCCCGCTGCCTGGAAACATCTTTCCCCTACTATTCACATGGCTCCACCCTTTACTACCACTCAGTTTTGCCTAAGAGTCAACTGATTCATCACTTGCTTGTTGAGATCTTCTCTGATCTAACACTACTCAAGACCCTAAGTATGCAGCACTGTTGCTGGCCTTACCAACCTCCCCCGGTTCACCATGCTGCCCCACTGATGACCATCCGCATGTGGATGGACTCCCTCATTCGGTCCTGAAATTAGCGCTGTTAACTGGACGCCTGTCAGTGGAAGTTCCGTGAAGGCAGGTTTGGTGTGCCTGGCACCTGGTAGGCATGCAAACATGTGCTGAAGGAATAAATGAAGCTTCCAATTTCCAATCCCAAACCCAAAGGGCGATGGTCACATTGGTGAAAATTTTTATTCAGGAGTCTGAATTCTAGCAGCATGGTCTCAAAAGGACAGCATGAACACCCAGGCCAGCCCTATTTGGAAAGCCTTCCCTTTAAGAACGTCTTCACCTACCTTGAACTCTCTCGTGATAAGAAACCTACCTCTCCTGTTGAAAGTCAGTATTTCATTTACCTAAAACCAACTCCCAAACTCCACCTCTGGCCATGTCTCATATTTTCCCATTTCCTTGGGTCGGGAGAGGAAGAACGGCAGGGTTGGACTAAGGCAGAGAGCATTGTGACTCAATAAGAAATGTGGTCATGACGTGCCCACAGTTCACGGTTTCTTCATGGGCTGATTCACAACTTCCAAAAGGAGGTCCGGTGACCCACAGGTGTGCGCCTCATCACCAGCTCCCAAGAAAGAGGGCCCCAGTGTCCGACTCAGCCCAAGGCCTCTGCAGCCTTCTTACAACAGTCCTAAGTCACCCTGCGGCTTGAGGAGCGCTGGGGGCTGGCCCACGAGCACCCCACTGCTACCGCTGTGGGGCCAGGCCTGTCTCATAGCCCTCTGTCTTCATGTCGTTGAGCCCCAAGTCCTCGTTCTGGTCAAACGTGCGCTTATAATGCTCCACTTTCATCTCAGGATCGTCTTCAGGGGCATACACGTTCTGCAGGACCAAAGAGAGACAATCAGTACTCATTTCATCCTGCCATCCCTGCCCCCAGCAGATCCCACCTCCCACCTCCCCAAAACTGCAGGAGCCTTCGGCTCCTTTTCCATCCCCCAAGGCCAGGCTGACCTTGTGGGCAGCAACACATGGCCGGGAGTGGGACAGCCCAGTCTCAAATGAGCATCAGGGAATGAGCTGCCTAAAAAGCTTTCTAACTTCTGAGGGTAGCAACGCTCTTACTCATAGTTCTGACCAAAAATAGCTGCTCAAGAAATGCTTGCGCAATTGCCAGTCACCAGGATTGTCCCCAGTCGGCTGAGAGCCTCTCAGGCTTTCTATTTGGCCCCCATTCCTCCTCCCTCCAGTCAGATTTGCCGAGTGAACACCACAGAGCAGGAGAAGGGCGCTGAGCCACAGGAAGAAATAAGTCTAGGAGCATCTTTTTTTCCTCTCTCCGTTTTTTCACATTTACAATCCCTCCCATCTTGACCTGCTATTTCTTAGGTTACAACTTCAACCAAAAGGTTCCCTGATGAAAGGTGGTCCACAGAGAATCGATGAATCTTTCGGTTTCTCAGGAAATGAAAGACCAGAAACTATCAACCCGTGAAGCATCAGGGACAGCTAATTATACCTGCAAGTAGCTGTTTCCTGCTGGGTCATCCATAATAAAGTGGGCCTTCATGTGACCCTGGGTAATCTAAAAGGGAAAGAGAACAGAGTATGTACATTTATAAAGCTCCTGGTAGGCAGACGCTGCACCTACCACATAACCACTTCAAATGATACTGCAGAATCCACAGAAGTCTGCCGAACTGGTGGACTCTGCAGCTCTAGAGGTGGGGTAGAATCCTTGGGTGGCACAATGCTGGACTGCTGACCCACGGGTTGCCATTTCAATCCCATCCAGAGACACACACCCCCACCCCCAGGGGTAAGGCCAGCTCCCAAAGGTCACATCCCGGCCTCCGCAGTCCCACAGAACTGTTCCCCTCTGCACGCACAGGGTCGCCATAACCAGAAATAACCCAACCATCACTCACAATAAAGCAGTGGAGGAACAGGGTCTAACAATCAGATATATGAAAGCTAGTTAAAAAGCAACCCCTAAAAAGGGACCAGACTTCAACCCGTGCGCCAAGACGTGAATGCAACACACCGGCATGACGCAGAGAACCAAGAGGTCTGAGGGGCCGGTCCCAATTCCAACTACTCGGACAGCCCCTCCTCCCTCCAGAAGAATGCACTTCAGAGCACAGCACTGAAGCTACAGCTCAGGGAGAGGGACACGTCTGATCAGAGCACACGGGAGCAAATGAAGGGGGAGGAAGAGAGAGAGGAGCACCTCCTGGCCCACCAAGCGCAGACAACGATATTCCTGCTCAGAGCAGCCAATGCACAGAGAGGACCGTAGGGCCGGCCCCACCAGGAGACACTGACTGACCGCTCATTGTCAGTCACTCTCTATGGGTCGCTCACTGACCCATAGTGCTTCAGGGGACAATACTGGAGACACAGTGCAATAACTGTGGCTGGTCTGAACCCCACCACACTGAGGCAAAACACTAAAGGTGTGCAACAGAATAGCAAAGGGAGCAGAGTAAGGAAGTCCCTGGGGAATACCAAAAATAGACTGTGGGGCCAGGGTGTGGCACTCCATCAGCCTCGACTGGAAAACATTCCTAACTAAAATTCAACACACAGACCTGGAACTATTTATAGGCTTTTCTTTTTTGTCATTTGTTTGTTTGTTGCTATTTTGTATTCTTTTGCTGCTTTGTTTTGCTCTGTCTTGTTTTTGTGTGTATTATTGTCTCTACATGTTATCTAGATAAAATAGGCGGGATAAACAATCCGGAGGAGAAAACAACGGGACCGACAGTTCTGGGGGGACATGGGAGAGGGGGAGGCGAGTGAAAGGAGGTGGGTGTTAACAAACCCAGGGACAAGGGAACAAGTGATCCAAAATGGATGGCGAGGAGGGTGCAGGAGGCCAGGTAGGGCTTGATCAAGGTCAACATAACCGAGAGGAATTGCTGTAACCCAAATGAAGGCTAAACATGATAGTGGAACAAGAGGAAAGTAAAACAGAGGAAAGAACTAGGAGGCAAAGGGTACTTACAGAAGTCTAAATACAGGCATGTACATATGAAAATATATTTTTATATGACCATGGGGAAATAGATCTATGTATATATATTTATAAATTTAGTATTAAGGTAGCAGATGGACAGTGGGCCTCTACTCAAGTGCTCCCTCAATGCAAGAACACTTTGTTCTATTCACCTGGCATTCCATGATGCTCACCTTCCCGACAAGATCTCTGAAGACAAAGAGGGTGCATAAGCAAATGTGATGAAGGAAGCTGATAGTGCCCGGCTACCAAAAGATATAGCGTCTGGGGTCTTAAAGGCTTGAAGATAATCAAGCGGCCATCTGGGTAAGAAGCAACAAAGTCCACATGGAAGAAGCACACCAGCCTGTGTGATCACAGGGTGTTGATAAGATCAAGTATCAGGCATCAAAGACCCAGAACAAAAAATCATATCATTGTGAATGAGGGGGGAGTTCAAAGTGGAGACCCAAAGCCCATCTACAGGTGACACTTACAGAAGGGTCTCAGGAAGGAGACAAGCCAGTAAGGATGCAGTATAGCACTGTTGAAACATACAACTTTTCTCTATTTCTTTAATACTTCCCACACCCCCACTATCGTGAACCCAATTCTACCTTACAAATCTGGCTGGACCAGAGCATGCACAAGGGTACAGATAAGAGCTGGAAACACAGGGAATCCAGGGCAAAGAAACCCCTCAGGACCAATAATGAGAGTAGCGACACCAGGAGGGGAAGGGGAAGGTGGGAGGAGAAAAGAGGAACCAATCACAATGATCTACATATAACCCCCTCCCTGGGGGATGGACAAAGGAAAAGTGGATGAAGGGACACATCAGTCAGTGTAAGACATGAAAAAATAATAATTTATAAATTATCAAGGGTTCATAACAGAGGGAGGATGTGGGAGGGAGGGGGAAGATGTTGATAGGGGGCACAATTATGGATACATCTTAGACATAATCAAATTTGTTTTCTGAGTTTGGAGTGTCTCAGTCAATGGACACTGAGTAGTGGCCAGATCCTTGAAAGCTTGAGTGGCCATCTAAGATACAACTGTTGGTCTCGACATGAGAGAAAAGAGGAAGCCGACGTTCAGAGAAGGAACTGTCTACAGGATCCGGGGTCCACGTCAGTGCTGCCCACGGTGGACAATGCCACCCACTGGGGTCCGCTGGGGTGATCCAAGGGCACCGGAGGCAGATGCCAATGTTTCACCGGGCTGTGGGCGAGAGGAGGTGCTGGGTACTTTTTCATTTTTATGAAAAGGAGGCATTAAGCCAAATAGGCCCAGGAGCTTGTGGTCTCCGTGACCCTCGGCCTCATCTGCTCCAAGACCAGAAGAACCAGACGGTGCCAGCGACCACTGCCGACTGACTGTTCAGATGAGGGCCCGACAGAGGGCGCAAAATGAGGGCCCGACCTCCAATTCCTAAGAAACACGGTAGACAGTCAGTGGACTAGATGAGACGATTGCCCTGGGGCATTCTTTAACCTTTAAAACAAAACTGGCCTGAAAGTCACTGTGAGTTAACTCACAAAATAATGAGTATGTGTTCCTCTAAACCAGGGGTCCTCAAATTTTTTTAACAGGGGCCAGTTCACTGCCCCTCAGACCCATTGGAGGGCCAGACTATAGTTTAAAAAAAAACTATGAACAAATTCCTATGCACACTGCACATATCTTATTTTGAAGTTTAAAAAAAGGGCAAAAACACCCGGCAGGCCAGATAAATGTCCTCCGCGGGCTGCATGTGGCCCATGGGCTGTAGTTGGAGGAGCCCTGCTCCAAGCAGTCACGTGCGCAAAGGTTATATGAAAACAAAGATGAGAAACTAGCTGAAGAGCAACATTACCGATGTGCATACGTTCTGAAGAACGTAACCACTGTTGATGAACAATTTGTGTAAAATTGCCAAGGGGGAGCCTAAGGTGCCACGCAAAAGCTTCAGCAAAAATGCGACACCGCGTAAAAGAAGAATCACGAGGAATCGTCTCCAACGAAGAATTCTAGTTTCCAGTCAAAAATCATTTCAGCATGAGAGTAAAGAACACCAGTATATTCTCAGACATCGCGGTCCCCAAAATACTTCTCCCCACTCACTCCTCAGGAAGCTGCTGGAGAAGATGCTCCGACACAATAAGGTAGAAACCAAGAGTGGGCAAGGGCGTCAGAGCAGAAGGCTTCCAACCACGGGAGATTCAAGAAAGCCACCATCGCCAAGTCGCTGCCGTACAGGACAGAGTAGAGCTGCTCAGGGAGCTTCCAAAGGTAGAAAGCCCCCGTCTTTCTCCTGATGATGGGTAAGAGATGCTCAGAGGACAGGAAGTGGGCAGGGTCGCCAGCCTCTGGTTCCCCGGAGCCCGTGACCAGCAGTACTGGCCAGTATGCTCTTACCTGGTCCAACTTCTCGCTGAACTCCTGCAGTTTCTGTGCCTGGCCAGGGCTGGAACTGTCACCCAGTGTGAACGGGTTCTTGGTGACCTGCAATCAATGGCACAAGCTCAGTTTAGAGACAGAGTACGCAGCCAAATGGTCACCATGCTCTTAGGCTGCTCAACAGCCTGCGGAGGAGAGCAGGTGGGTGCCTACCCAGGCAGGCTGAGTCTCCATTTACCCCACACCACTGTGCTGCTGACCAGGTACCCAGGGCCACCTGTAGAATCTATGGATCAACTGACCGAGACAATGATGGGCTGTGCTGAACAACTTTAAGTCCCCTTTCTACAACATCGGAGGAGAAATGCAAAGGACAAGTTCCACTGACAAAGACAAAATGGCCAGGAACTGAGAACAGACTAGACACACACGGGAGCGCTCAACAAAGATGACGGGTTGCAAAGTGTGGGAAAGTCCCCGAGTCCAATTTCCCACTTTCTGAAGGCCGCTCATATGTATGTTGGGGAGTTGTGGGTGCTGAAAGGACCCTTGTCCCCCTCACTTCAGAGTTGGGTATCTATTTAATCCCAAATCACAAAACCACCACAAGGTCCCAGAGCTGGGCCCCAGAATTCTCATAAGAAATCTCCCTTAAACTCATCTTCTCAACCCAAAATAATATTTAGGTCTCTTTATTTAGCTTTAAAGCAAAGACATCTCAAGTTATCACCCTCAAAAAGAAGGTAATGCCAGGACAGGGAGGTCTAAGAGGCAGTAACCGGATGGCCACTGCCTAGACCGTGGCAGAGGGGACGGGGAAATGGGGAGCTAGCACCAATGAATGCGAGAACAAAGTGTTCTCAAACTGACTGTGGCGATGACTGCACACATCTTCTTAGTAGGACTGAACAATGAGATTATATGATGTGAGGTCGCAGAGCACACTCGGGGAACTCACCAGCTCCCGGATGTCCTTCAGCAGCCCCTCCAGCGTGGTGAACTTGCCCCCGAGGACAGCCATTCCCAGTTCGAACTCCAGCTCTGGGATTTCCACACTGCACGTCTCAGACTGCAGAGATGAGCGGTCGAGTGAAGCTTTGAGCCAGGAGCAAAGAAAGCTAACTAGGAGCCCGTGCCAAAACAATACTAGCGATGAAAGTTTAGGGTCACAAGTCAGCTGACTCAGTTTCTGTGTCTCCCTAGGGTAGAGCTGGAGATGGACTCCTGTCCACCGGAGACACAAAATGCAACCAAATGGATGAAGGGAAGCTGAGTCCCAGGCCCATGCGGCCCTGCTCCTGTCAGCAGACATCGGACAGCCTGACTGCCACGCAGTTGATGGTCACTCATGGTGGCCCCAGAGGACCGGGAAGAACTGTCCCTGTGCGTCCCAAGACGGCAACTCTTTATGTGCGTCCCGAGACGGCAACTCTTTACGGGAGTAAAGAGCTCTATCTTACCCTCGTGAATTTGAACTGCTGACCTTGCAGTTATCAGCCCAATGCATAACCCACTTTGCTACCTGGGCTCCTTTGGGAGAGGGCCCCTTTGTAGACACGAGACACCAAGAAGCTACAGAGGCATCGAGAATAGTCTACAGGTCACCTTCTGAAACTAGAATTCCAGTAACAGATGAACCCTGCTCAAGGATGGTCCAACTCAGGACTGGGGGTGTCACCTCATACCCCCAGAACATTCCTTTCTAAAGAAACACTGGGGGGAGAGGGCCTTCAAAAAAAACCCATGAGAAATGGAATTAAATGACGATGGAATTGTTCCAGGAACGCCCTGAAGTACCCTTGCATTTCTCCTAGCTGGGCAGGCAGGGATCGCAGGGCAGTCGGTTCAAAAGCATCCATTACCTTGAGGAGGTCTCTGGTCATGTCGGAAGGGTCTGTCACATGAAGGGTGATCCTGGTGCCCAAGGGCTCGACTGCACCCCCAGACTTCACCTACACAGAAGGCAGCCATAAGCAGGAGCCACAGGAGAGCCAGCGACACCCTGAGGCGGCTGGGGCTCCTGTCAGGTAGGCCCTTTCAAGGGTACAAAGACAGAGGCCCCTACACCAGCAGGAGCATCCATCACCCAAACAGAACAGTGCGGGAGCTGGCCAGGGCTGAGCGCAGCGTAGCAGCCTGCCAGAACAGTCCCCTCCATGGCCAAGGAGCCCAATATCGACCTTGGACAAACAAAAGCTCTGACGCACAGGGCTGGAAAGCATCGGATGGGTGGCTCCCCTTCACAGAGGGCTGCCCGTGGAGAAGGTGGCCAGCTGTGCTCGATTATTACCCATCCAACCCAAACCCTCGGCCAGGCAGTCAGTCCCACTCGAAGCGACCCTGGCCGACCCGGGGGGACGAGGCGGGGTGGTGGGGGAGACAGAGAACTCGCTGCCATTGAGTCAATGCTGACTCAGAGCGACCTGCTGTGGGTTTCTGACATTAACTTTACAAGAGCAGAAATCCGTCTTTCTCCCAAGGAGCTGCTGGTGGTTTCGAACCGCCAATCAGGTACCATTGCACCACCAGGCTCCAGCAAGCCTTTAGGACAGGGTAATACTGCTCCCTGGTCTTCCCAAGACTGTCCATCTGGACAGGAACGGCCAGCCTCCCCCTCTGTCCTCTCACAGTGGCTGGTGGGTTAGCAGACCAGGGCCTACTCCGCAGCGCTTAGAGGGGAGAGAATGAAAAACCTTCCCAGGTAGCCTGCCCTTATTTCCAGACAGCTGTAGCTGGGAGGAAGGTCTTTCTCTGGGAGTCAAAATCTGCCCCCTCCCAAAAATCTGCCCTCTGGGGAAAGGGTCCAAAAGTCGTTTCTCTCTTCCACGGTTAAGTGACCCAAGACTTAAATAAGCTGTGCTGCCTCTAATTGTTCTTCTCTTGAATGATTCCCTGTTCCTGCGAGGGCCCCTCACCCTATGCTATATCCTAAAAGAAAGCCCCACCCCCTCCCATCGTGAAAGAGGTTTAGAACGGATGCAGGCTCCCAAACAACAGGGCCCACCTCATTGGTGCGGTGCCCACAGTTCTCGCAGTTGGTGGCCATGATGATAACCTCCTTAAAGTGGGGGATTTCTGGAAGACGCAGTCAAGGAAATCTGCTTCCAGGAGAGCAGGATCACCCTCCGCGGAAGAATCAATCCAGCCCCTCAGCCAACAGCTGCCAGTTCTAGGCCTGCCTGGCAAAATGTCAGAAAAAGCAGCCTAACACAGACAGTCCTCTGGACGAGAGCAGTTTCACCAATGCTGGAAAAGGTGGCTCCGGGCACATGCAGGGCCTCGAGAGCACGGTCTCCAAATGCCAAAGGGCGCGGCCCTAGCAAAGTCAGCCTTCTTTCGGCATCAGAACGGGACGTGTGCTCTCTGTCCCAGTATGACACTTTCAGGTCCCGGTCATGTGCCGCCGGACAAAGGATACGCACTAGCTTCATGTTGGTCTGAGCCGGAGCACTGCATTCCGGGCAGTTTGTGCTGAACTGGAGCACCTGGAACACAGTGTGGGGCCGGGTGAGCCTTCCCGCCAGGATGCGCCAGGATGCTCAGGCTAAAGACATTCCCATTGGGACCCAGGCTGGTGGCGTAGGGAGGGCACCACTGAGCAGCATGGGGCTCAGCCCCCTGGCTCTGCTCCTCCTTCAACAAAAGCTGGTGTGACTCACTTCATTTCTGAGATCATCCTCTTCTGGCTTCTCTTCTGGTACCTCAGCCTAAAATAGCAGAGAGTGAGTCACAGGTTGGCAGGTAGGCCTTGGCTTTCCCCACACCCTGCCCCAGAGTGGGAGGAAATGCTGTGTGCTTCAATCCTATGCCACCTCATGGAGGTGAGAACAACTGTCAAAGCCCCAGGCAAGGGAAGGACAGACTTCAAGACTGAGTGACAGCCCTGCACCGCCACCCTTTACGAGGTGGACTCAACTGCTCCTTAGAAGCCAGCACAGGGAGACCCTTACTTCTTTGGACAGGCTACTAGAGAGGGGCTCTGGCCTCTGGTGGCCCAGTGGGCTGCTCATTGCAAGGTCAGGACCTTCCACTCCTGGAAAAAGCTACGGGCTCGGAAACTCACGGGGCGGCTCTACAGGATCCTGACAGTGAGTGTGTGCCCATGAAGGAGGCATCATGTTTGGTAAAAAGCACAGGGTCAGCAAAAGAACAAAGAGGAGGACTCTCACGAAGAGGAGGAATGGCACCCTGGCTGCAACAAGGGGCACAAGGACGGTGGTGCAGGACCGGGCAGTCTCCCGCTCCATTTGCACATGCGTCACTGAATCAGAACCAGTTAGCTGGCACCGGACAAGCGAGAGGCACAAACACGCTGAGAGCCTGCATGGGAGGCGGCAGCAGCAAAGTACGTTTCCACCAACTCCAGGCAATCCAGGGGCAACATCCTTTCCCAGCATTTTGGCTGCTTCCACCCATTTACCTGGAGTCCCAGCATCTCCTCCTGCTTTGAAGTTCGGTTATAGTGCGTGATCACCAGGGCATCATCTCTCTGGGGGGCAAATGGGTTTTCCACAAAGCTGTTCCCTGAGGGATCATCAATGATCTAGCAGGTGAGGGAGGACAGAGGAAGTGCAATGGGAGCTCCATCTACCAGCAGGTACCACATGGGAAAATCCCAATTGCAATGTCCCTCCTCTCCCAAATCTCAAGCACTCACAATTCCTCACCACTTACCAGAGTGAAAGGGGAGGCCACTTGCTTTAGCGCCTTCAGGTTGACAATGAACTCATCGATTCTTTCAGCTAAGGTTTCTTCACTCGCCTGCCATAAACATCGAGGAGATAGGTCAGCCCCCAGGGTAGTACACCCCCATTCCTGTTATGCCCATGCACTTCCAGCCCTGTCTTAGCGTGAAGGGGAACGGGGTGACTCCGACTTCACAATGAGATGTCGTAAACAAGTCTGGTGTAAGAGTGGTGCCAGCAACGGATGGATGTATGGATTGTGATAAGAGTTGTATGAGCCCCCAACAAAGTTATTTAAAAACAAAAAAGAGAGTGGTGCCACCAGATGGTCCTCACTTCCTCTCTCACCACCATTTAGCTAGGCCCCACAGTAAATAAACCACAGCCAAGGGCTCCCAGGCTAACTGGGAGGAGAGAAAACTAAATATACAACTGTAAGCCATTATTTTTATCCTAAAAAAAAAAAGACACAATGGAAAACCCAGAAAGTAGAGATAACCTAAAAAAAAAAACTCCCTGCCACTGAGTCAATGCCAACTCAGAGTGACCCTATAAGAAACCCTATGGGTTTCCAAGACTGACATCTTTCTCCCTCAGAGTAGTCAGCAGTTTCAAACTGCTGGCCCTGCAGTTAACAGCACAACCCATAATCACTACGGCACCGAGGCTCCTCAAGGGATTAGAAAAGACCCTTCAGAGGTAATGTCACCCTGCTCTCTGAGGCTTGATCCAGTGAGGAGGAAGGGCCAGTAGGCACAATGGGTGCTGGCAGCTGCCACATCACCACATCCTCAAAGTGTTCTCTTACATTCAAAACGGCCCCTCGGTGAGTGGAACGTTCCACTCACACACAAGAAATGACCCCTTGAGCTGCTGCCCTCAGAGGACCCCCACTCACCCTTCGTGTTGGCTGGTCCTGCTCCAGGCCAGAGATAGCACGGGTGATCAATCCTTCAACGGTGGTCAGAGCTTATGAACAGAACAAAACCTGGGTGAGTCGTGGCTCTGTGGCATGTCCCTGAAGGGCCCCAGGTGTTCCACGTGAACTCTCAGGCCCTCGACACCCCTCTCCGTAAATGAGGGCACCAGGCTCAGGCCTTTATTCGTCTCTCATGACAGTGATGCGCATGGCCATCATTGTCAATTCCGACTCATCCCAACCCTAGCACAGAGGAGAAGAGCTTCTTTGGGTTTCTACTTTAGATCTTCACGGGAAGTAGATCTTTCTCCTTCCAAGTGGCTGCTGAGTTTGAACTGCTGGCCTTGCAGTTAGCAGCCCAGTGTGTACCCAGCCCACTAGGCCACCTGGGCTCTTCGCAACATATGACAACTGGGTAATGAGCACACCGTGGCTGTACACTCTGCTATCTCAGGCCCAAGGGGCTTTGTAAGCACGAGAGATCAATTCCAGGAAAGTATGAACAGCTCCAAGACCCTGAACTTAAACTTACCTCCCTTCTGGCTGAAAGCAGGTATTTCAAAATCCAGCTCAGGGATCCTAGTGGTAGCGGAGTCCGTCTTCACCACCTCTCTGTTCATGTCCTGGGCAAGGAGGCGCACTTTCAGGGCAGGGTGGTCAGCAGGGCAGCCCCTCCTCAGGGAATAACCACGCTGCTTCCCCTTCTCCTGTACACCCGGGCCCAGCAGATTCTTCCTCTCTCCACCCCAGAGAATTCACACAATCCCAACAGTCCAGGTAGGGCCAGGCTGCCCAGGTGTTAGAAGAGTATTCTAAACAACGACTGCACATTTCCTACCCGCTGCCGCCGTTTCCAGGTTCCCATCTCACCTGCGAACACTAGCAGCAGCACCATTTTACGATAAAAAGGCAACTGAGGCTTGGAGACACAGATTTATGACCATGTCTCATCCCGCCACTGGAGCTCTGACTCCAGCCTCCAAACCCTCTGGGCCCCTCTCACCTCCTGGCCCCTGACCGTCAACGTGTAGCGCACTCCCTGGTCCTGGATCCTGCCTGCCGACTGGATCTCCGTGTTGGTCCAGTTACAGTGCTCGCAGGAAAAAGAGCTCACGATGATTTCTCTGAAGAAGGGGATCTTGGTGAGCAGCAGGC